TTCCATCGAATGCATCAAAAACAGTCAGGACGCAATTTTTCGGATAAATAAAATTCGGAGTTTCGATCGAGCGGTTTTGCCGAAACACGTTTGATACGGTCACGTGCGAATGCGACCCCGAGGGAGGCGTTCTAACACAACACGGATGAAGTAAAAAGACGTCTTGGCCGAGTCAACAGAAAATTTCTTAAGAACAAACACGCCGTCGTGTTGTAGCGTGAACCAGCAAACTTGTCTAACTCTGCAAATGGCTTCTGCAAGATACCGGGATTTGCAATGTATCTAAGTGGAATGTATCTAAAGTTGTTTTCAAAAATGTTCATTAAACAAATTATTTCAGTTTATATGAAATTCAGTTATGTATGAGAACTAATGATGTTTTTTGTAGGGGCGGACGACTAATTATTTCACCGTTTAACATGTAATTCGTAAATGAACAGACTGTTGCCTAAGTCGCTCGAACTCAAGCGGAAATTGTTCCATAATAATTGTTTCTTCCATATATTTTCAGTGCCAGTAAAATGAACCATGAATGAACACAGCATTACAGTCCTGGAAGGCTTTAACTTAACATAGCTGATGGTTGCGAAAAGCCCGCAAGCGTCATTAGTCATTACTCGAAATGCAGGGATGTAAATGAGGCGTCCATTTAGTAGGACATGAAGTAGAACAAAGGTAGTCGTTTAAGTTGGCAGAGGCGTGGTATCATAAGAAGGGTGCGACTGCGCATACGATCAAGTTCTTACGTGAGCGCTTAGAGCGAACTCTTCATCTTGTGCTTCGTATGCAGAACCAGGGCCGCAATTCCTTATGGGTGCTCCAGCTCAGTTTTATGTGCATTCCGTAAACATTACTCTTTTTACGTGGAGCTTTCTCCACCGTTTAATTTTATTACCTCTGTTGATGGTGACATTGGTGAGGTTCTACGAACAACGTCTTTTAGAAATCCCATTAGGTGAGAGAGATATGTTTTCTGCCGAGTGAAAAAGAGGCAGTCGCACGTCAAAGTCGGCGACTTTTAGAGTCAGGACCTGAAAACAAATGTTTTCTCGGGAGAACAACCAAGAAAACACGAAGGGCTTAGGAAAAACATGTTCATGAATGGTAATGAGTGCAATATATTGCAGCAATAGAAATTTACATGCATTTCTTGTAATACGCGGTAAGCCAAGGGAAGATGTTTGGCCGGTAACTACATAGTAGAGAAAAGGCTGATGTTTGAATGAAAACTTAACTTGAATGAAGGGCTAACGTGAGTACGAAAAATTTTAAAACAATCATCAAGAACAAAATGTTCATAAAATAATCATGCACCTGTTATTTTTTGTAATACAGCACAGGGAGAATTTAGACATTGTTTTGATTGAAGACTCTTCTTAACACGTCTGCATAATTGAATAGAAAGTTATGTACAAGCACCATTTCTTATCACATAGAAAATGAAGTTTTATCACAAGCGATCAGCATTCTATCACAAATGAGCAATATTTTATCACTTTCGAATAGCATTTCTTCACATGCGAACAGAATTTCGTCACATGCGCGCAGCGTATTGTCACATGCGAACAGCATTTTGTCGCTTGTGCGCAGCATTTTGTCACACGCGAGCAGAAATTTGTCACATGCTAGCAGTTTATGGTCACATGCGAGCAATGTTTGTCTGATGCGCACAGCATTTTGTCTCATGTAAAGTATTTTGTCACACGCGAGCTGCATTTTGTCACATGCTAGCAGCTTTTGGTCACATTTGAGCAATGTTTGTCTCATGCGAGCAGCATTTTTTGCATATGCAAAGCATTTTGTCACATGCTAGCAGCTTCTTGTCACATTTGAGCAATGTTTGTCTCATGCGCGCAGCATTTTGTCTCATCTGCGAAGCATTTTGACACACGTGTGCAGCATTTTGTACAATCGAGCGTGTTTGTCATGTACAAGCAGCGTTTGTCACATACGAGCAGGAATGTCACGATTCAAGAGACGCGTCTGTGCTCATTGTTGTGTGCGGAGCCTCGAGAAATTCGACCCTCGGCAGAAAACTTTGCGCCATTCGTAATCGTGGCGGCGACTGAGGTGCGATGTAGCGAAATACTGCGAAAAACTCGTGTATTCCTCGGACGATGTCGAATAGAGCCCCGGAGTTCATCCACTAGAAAAGAAAAGAGATCTTCCGAGAGTCCATCACGTTTGACAAGAAGAAAGGCACAAGCAGAAAAGACGGTGACAGATAATTTCAGCCTTTCTGTTACAGTTTGAATTTAGGTTCTCCTCAGTGCGCGACAGGACCTGAGTGAGCAACTAAATGAGATTGAACCGAGAAACGTATGTTGAAATTCAGTTATGAAAAATTTTCTCCATTTCGTACTCTGCATGCATCCTTCGATATTCCCATTTGAATTTGCAGCAGTGCATTCATTGAACCATCAATAACATTCATTTTTCCCGGTGTCGCTTCTTCCCACGTTCACCCGCGCTAACCCATACACGCAATCTCGCTCTGTACATGTCGTATCTTAATAGAAATCTAATATATGACGTAAAGGCGCTCACGCAGTTCTTTACCATAAACCCAACTCTATTAAGGATGGGAATATTGCTCTCGGCGCAAAGTAAATCTTCGCAGTCAGGTGGAATTGTTTCGGCACATCCAAGCGCAACATTGACTTCTCGCTCGAAATATTCATAAATCGCTGAGTTAGGGGAAGTGTTGGTGCAATCTTCGCCTTACGACCGATGGAACTCCCATTGCGTTTCAGCAGTCATCCAAATCAATAAGTGATCGGGTGCAAGTCTATGGAAATATTAGCTAAAAATTCAAATTTAATTTGGATGATAGGATTTTAATTTACCATTACCAAGTAGGTAATGGTAAATTACCTAATATGATATGAAAAATGGTAGATTAATGCTACTTTCTGCTGAACTTTAAACTTGCCAATAAGAAATCAGCACGCCTATCTAAGTTCCCCATTATATCACAGGCATCGAGAAGAAGTGACTTGAAATTTATTCACTAATTTCAAGTTGCATCACTTGAAATTTAACAGGAATACATTAATGTTTTCTGAAATAAATCTTATGTTAATTTTCTCCTGGACAGCAAATCTTTGACCATAAGAGTATTGTAGAAGCAATTTTTTAGCTAATACGAGTAATAGGTGCAGTAGCTCAAATAACTCACAGTACGAAATATTACTATTAATATCGTTGACCACTGGAAATTCGCCGGTCGTCCTCCGATAATTCTGCCATAATTTTGCGTCGGTTGAGGACAACACTTGGACTCATAAGAGCACTGAGTCGATACGAAGCTCGATTGTCGTGACAGATAGGCCCGCGATATTGCAAGAGCCTCCATCCAGAAATTGAGCGAAATATAGACAGGCATTGCTTTGGAACGATTCGAGGTGCTCTCTGCCCCTCCCGCGACAATGGATAGCGTCAGCGTTATATTCTTAGTGAACCTCAGAGCGAAACATCTCCCAGTTGCTTTATTTTCACCTCCGAAAACTTGGGATCTGGGGCATAAACTCGAGGCCTGTTTGGAAATTGACATTGATCTAGAAAGAAACAAATTTTGCTTTGCGGGACATTGCAAGGCGTCACATTCATCATTCCATTTTATTGCATTTTTCCGTTTCGATGTGGTTACATCCCTCAACAAATCTTCTACGCTGATCTGGTTTAACTACAATCTATAATTGAATATGGCATCAGTTTTTTCAGGTATGTGAACTACAACACTTAACAATCTCCATACACAATGCTTCGTTGCAATTGCAATAACAGCTATATGTATTGCAATATCACGAACTGTCTTAAAAAAAACAGCAAATAAATTTTAGTCGAGAGAGTAACGAGATACCGAGACATCAGTTGTAAAAATTAATTCAAGCCAAAATTTCTCCGAATAATTTTGGAAATCAAAATATTTTTCTGCGGTTATAATTGGTTAAGCACGAGGGAGTGCTTTTCATAACTAAAAGATAGGATTCATTTTACTGCTCTATTTTTAAAGTTGATGCGTTTTCTGGATGTTCTGGAGGGTATTAGAGGCAAGCACATGAACAATACCTACCTGGGAAACTATTATAAATGCAAGCGCAGAAATGAAGCATATGTACACTGAAGTGCTCCGACGCGGCGTAGTAGACTGCTAAATTTAGCTTAATTTAATAATTAAAATTATTAAATAATTGCTCGGTCAAATAATTGCTTAAATATAAAACCGGATAAAAATATAACGGTAAAGAAAACATTAAGCAAATTCACAAAATTTACAATCCAAATTTAAATTGAGAGAATTTTCTTGACAGTTTCTTAGCCGGAAACAGACAAAAATCATTGTTACAAGTATCGTTCTAATTACGAATTATCAATGATAATTTATGTACTGATGATGAAAAATGTTGAATAATATCCTTTTCAAGCAATTTAGGAAAGATATGCTATCAGGTTGCGCTATGGAAAACGGAAACTAGAATAAAAAATTTGTAATACTATTGAAAAAAGTAGATAAGCAGGCATCGCTTCACAGACTTATGGCGTTACAAGTATGGTTAATAATTATGGTAGGTCGAGCTGAGTGGATGCATTGTACAGCTATAGTGATTAGAATGGTAGAAAACGTGCGTCGAAAAAGAGAGTCGATTGCGCGATAGAAAAAAAGTAATACGTTGGGCGAATGCGAGGCCGCTTTTTTCATCGTTACCCGGAATAAAATTCTACGAGAAAACTGAGTTACAGGGAGGAAGAATAATGTAGGAAAAACGTGCTAAAATTCGGCGGATAATTAACGCAAACTGTGGCATTCAATACGAAGAAATTTCAACTTGTGGGGGCTATTGGAAATAAGGGATGGCGGAACTACATGGTGTTACTGACACAAGAATAACGGTCACAGGAAAGCTCAAGAAAGAGAATAATTTCATAATTGTTCTCTTGTATTTAAAATTATAATAATAATTCAAAGGCCAACCGAAGAGGGATGTAAACAACGATACCTGTTAGTTCTTGGGAACGATAGCGTGGAGCAACCACCCTGCTGATGTCTTGGGGCGTCAGGTGATACTGAGAGTGTTGAGGTAGACCCATCACTTGGGTTTGAGGTGAAGTTATCACTTGAGTGTGTGGAGGGAGGCAATGAGGGTTCGTGTGGACGATGTGGTCCCCGCAAATCACCGCCGCTGTGGGCAAATAGCATCAGCTGTGGTCCTGGCTCCGTTTACCCCCACTATTTTATCTCTCATCAAGCTAACCTTAAATGCATGAATTTTAGCGCGCTTATGCGGACGGTCACGTTAAACTCGGGCAATGATAAAATAATAATAATTTTCTTGAAGTATTTGGTCTCCTTAGTGCCTATGCCGACGACGGAAATAGGCCACCATAATTTTAAATGGATAAAAGGTCTTCGTTCAAATTTCAAAAGGGATAAAAGGTACCTTTTCAAATTATTCCTTTTTCAAATTATAGTTAAAGTTCAACAAATACATATTCCATGTCAGAGTTTTGAGCAAAGAACGAGTAAATTTTCTTTCATGATGTTTGGCTAAAAAAAACAAATAAGCCTTTATAGTTCGGCGGAAAATACGATCAAGAACGTTCATAATAAACGGGTTCAAGTCATCACGAGTTACCCACTTTATAGGAAGCAATGCTACGGCGGTGATCGTGAATAGAATGCACGTTTAATTTCAGTCTTCGGGTTCAATTTGCGGATAGAACTCTATTCCAAATTAATTTAAAATTTATCCCCTGCTGGATGTGTTCTTTATACATAGTTTTTGTGTATCAATTAAGCTTCAATCAAGTGTGTGCATGAATAATATATATTGAAAACAATTAACAATCATAGTTACTGGAAGCATTACGAGTAAATTTCGATGAAGATGGAACAACGATCGCATGGAAAGTCTCCCTGAAATTAGAGGGTCGGAGGCTCGAACAGGTGGTGGTAATGTCCTCGGGTTTGCCTGACCATCAGAAGGGTGAGGCGAGGGCTGACTCGCCGTCCATATTGATATACTATGCAAATAGCGACCATCGCAGGTCAACACTAGCACGCCAAAGAACTAAAGCCATAGATGGACACCAGAAGCGGCAGTAGGAGAGGAGTCGCTGAAGATGCGAAGAACAGAGAAAACGGTGAGCCGAATTTTGTAATTGATCGTGAAGAATGAAGAACAAAATTAAAATAAGGTAACATTATGCAAAATTCTATTTATGCAAAATTAAATTATTGTTTATGCGAAATTGAGTGTAAATTTTGTAAAATTTTAACGATAATTTTATTTCCGTGAAATTTTGATTAGCAATCACTGCGGATACAAAAAAAATGTGACGGCATCACTCATGTCAGGGGCGACCAAAAGTATGCGTGAGAGAAGAAAAATCAAGTTCCCTCATATCCAAGATTGATATTTAGACCGTTATACGAATGCATGATGTAATTTATTTAATATCTGTAAGGTATCCAATATCACATTGCATGCGATACTGGATATAAAGCAATAAAACATTTAATTTAATTTCTAAATTAAAATTTTATGCAAAAATTTTATTTAATATATAATATAAACAATACATAGTATTTAAGTAACAAAATTCATTCGTGTATTATATAAATATAATAGATAAGACTATAAGTAACTTCATGTAATATCTTTATATCTAAGATTGATGGATAGGAGACCGAGAGTAATTTTTCATCCTTATAACAACTTGAAGGATTTGTTGTGAACGTTTCTGGGCGGGTAAGAAATGATTAAAACAGACAGCATTTTCTGCTGTATTTCATCTAATTTTTGGAACCTTTTGGGTGAAGCCAGGCAGCAGTTTCTGGGGTACCGGGAGGAGATTGCTACCTTGTCCGAGCGCGCAGCACGACGTGGTAAGAAGTATTGTGACAAATGATGACGTATCTTTGGAGAGAAAAACTCCCCTCCAAAACGAAAAGACACAACGAAAGTAGCAGATTATTCCCGCCAATGCACGCACGGAATAGTAATGTACTTCAACTGCTGCCGCCGTGGCTCAAGGAATCTGTGCAATACTGTAGAAATTTCAAGAAATTGCAAACAAACGCGGGTTTCAACAAAAGGTAAACCACGAGGTATTCACCCTAAAAAGAAAGTGCATTAAAAATTCATTTCAATCATACAACAAAAAGTATAAAATTATTTTTCAATGAAATCCAAAGTGAGGAGCTTCTGTTTTCTCTCTCCTGATTCTGCAATGCAAGATCGCCAGTTGCTGGATATACAACCCATTTAGCGGAACAGGCGGTGCTATAATCCAATCTACAGTAGTCCCCCATCGCAGGCCAGCTCTACTCAGACACAAGAAATGCTCTAAAGTTTAGGATTATATACTCCCATCGTGTCTAGTTCGTACAAAATACAGTGACAAATAAATCACGGACACCAATGCGACGGAATGCTTGCAAGAGCAAGTTAATGTCGATTAATATAAAGAATGTATTCAAGAAGTATCAATAGACGACTGGAACAATTCATTTTAATGTCTAAATTTCATATGTTCGAATGTCGGACCGCACGAATGTTTCATGCATAGAAGTGAATCTTGCAACGAATGAAGAAGAAGGCGAAATGAAATGAAGAACTTGATGCTGTGAATCCTCGGCAGCGGAGACTTTGAAGTAACCGACACTTGGTTCAAGCATTTACGCTTTCTATTTTGTCAACGTGCAAAGGACGGCTCAGCCGTAATCTGATTTACAAACTGGTTCGGATGAGGGGAATGTAGTCACAGCAACTCGTGAATGCTGTGGCAACTGCGACACCCAGCATACGAGAGGAGCATGTTTCCAAGTTATTAGGCCCAACAAAATCAATTGCGCAAAAAATAAGAACTGAATGATTAAAATTTAATTGCGAATGTGAAATCTACCACATAAGCGCTCACGTATGGTGCTAGGAATATTCTACAAAAATTGGCGACAGAAGGATTTTTTGAACAATCTGACAAAAATGGTGAGAAAACCCCAAGTCTATCAGGGAAGAAGCACAATGAATATGTTAAAGTTATCTCGATTAACGTGCTACTCTTACGTAACGCAAAAATATAATAAAAATTCGAAATTAAATGGATTATCTGACAATTTTCCCCTAGAAATAAGTTTGCGATATTTCCGTGATTCAGAGGGTGGGTTTTTGGTCAAGCCATTTCTAGAGGGGCTTTTCAGAAGGCAAGTTAGGTTGGAACTAGCCGGACGGCCAGCCGAAATCTATTTAGTTAGTTGCCGTTGCACAGTAAGGAAGAGCTACTCGGTATTCCGTGAAGCATCCTCCTTCGTCCGGGCTAACAACAAACTCGTCGATCTTGGTGCTGAATTTCTGCCCTAGGTGTGGTGGCTTCACCAACAGTTAGCTTTGGTGAAGTGGCCTGAATGTTTGACTTGATGCTCACACTTTTAAAGGAGCTCCAATGACACGACTCATTCTAAATGAGTGAATTATGGGCTGACGTCACAGACGAAATTTTCAAATGTTTAAAGAAGCGGAATGATCAATAACAATGCATACCGACAAGAATTGTTTGTATTATTCAAATATATTAGCATGTATTTTTAAATTTTTGGCATTGAATTTATTTGAATAAAATGCAATGTTGCTTTAATGATTTTTGAATTAGTTTGTATTAGCGTGTCCAGGTGAGAATTATTTATTATACTATTTTGTGAACTTCAATTTTCGGTCTGTCACTTCGATTCTCAAATTGAGATTCGATTTCGGTCAAGTGTTCAGAGATTATCTGCGATACTTTACAAAACGTTGCAACCAAATAAATAAATGAAACGTGCTCACCAAGGCCCGTTGTATCGTCCTAGACATTCGAATCGTTGATAAATGCAGGTGGCTAACCATCACATACAATATTGATCTTATGTTTTTTAATTAATACAGATATTTAATTACTACATATATCAGCCAACTGTGCACTTAATATAATTGCACAGTAGGCTGATGAAAATGTGTCTGCATGATTGCTGTCACTGCAACAATGTTATCCTAATTTCAACACCCCATGCAATCTGTCATTAATCAATGCAGAATATGTAATTTTTATGCAAACTTAAATTGGCAAATTAATTTATGAGAAACTTTCTCAGCAATTTAGAGGAAAAAAACACTATTTTTCGAGTGTCTAATCATCTAGTTGAATAATTATTGAATTACCAGAAGAAGTGTCATTCATACTAGCGTTCATTAGTATAGTAATCGCACGGGAAAAAAAACAAATCCTCTAAATATCCATACATAAAAATCCAAATTCATAACCATTAATCCACTAAATATGTCTAAATAACCATTAGAACAACTAAACCAGTAACGGGTGAGAATTTCTTGTATAACGAATCTATTAGCTACAGTATTTGTTGATATATGAAAAAGGTGCTGAGTAAAAATTACACAATTACCGTAAAAATTCGGCAGTTAATTTCTCAATAAGAAAGAATAGCTTGTTCAAACGAAATCTAGATAGATACATGCAAAATAATCTTGCACATTAGCGAAATTTTTGTATCAATGTTCCTAACTGCACACACACTCCTTTAATTATGTATACAAGAATATTTTAATTTGTCTCAATGTTATTAACAATAAAAATTTATCTCATAGTTATTAACAATATTAAGATATTCACGTCTTAAAAACGTAGAAGCCGAAGAATAGACGGTAGTCAATATCAATCAATGGCTACATATATTTTGATTATCGTTTAATATTTTTGTACAAGTGTATTACTTTCTGCTACATATATTTTATATAAGTATTACTTTCTATCTCTAACGTACCTATAATTTATTGGACGACAGCTACCATAAGGACCACGCAGGACTGCTCCTAGCAGCAATAGGTGACCTAAAGATTCCTCACCATATCGCCCGAATATGAAGCGCGCGGTTGTCCGTGTGTAAAAGCGAACGAATGAAATTTGCTCAAACTTTGTCTGGCAGTTGGGCCTGCACCGTCCCGAATGACAATGAGCTGAGGTAAATCGGCAGGCGGGATCTTTACAGTCAATATTTGGCTTACACCGAATATATTTTCCGGTGAGCCGAGGCTTCGCTAGTGAACGACGCCACCTCGCGTCCTAGAAAACGAGTCAACATCGTGAGCTCGGCAGGCGCGTAGTAAGAGGCTTAAGTTTTAACCGGGAA